GCCCCCGCTTCGGTGGTGGCTCAGTGTGAGTCACAGCCTTGGGGCAATTTCAGCAGCAAGTGCAGAGTGCCTTGAACCACGCTTGTCCCTGCATTGGCATTTGGGCTTTTTTTTTTCTGAATCCCTCGCTTAAGAGCGTCCTTTGGGTGTGGAGGCTCTTTCACCAGAAGAGTTTACTTTTATTTTGCTGCCTTCTCTTGGGAGGTGCATTAAGCCATCAGCTACACCTCTGACTCGCTTTCCTCACGGGAAATGCGTTGCTTGTGTCCTGGCCGCCTCCCGAAGCCTATGTAAGCCTCTACCGAGTATCAGTCTTCTCTCAGAGGTTAAAGGGCTGATCTCCAGAACTGTGTGCCCAGCATACCCGCCTCTGCCATTCCCTAGCACTGAGCACATAACTCGGCCTTGCAAACACTTTTCCATGCAGCAAGAAAATATGAAGAAAACAGGAGTTCTATCACAATACTATCTGGTTCAGCAGCAAATTCCATCCTGAAGCCCTCTTGTAACATGCTCAAACATCCCACTGCTCCTCTTCCTCAGTGAGGAAGAAACAGAGTAAACTCTGCTGTGACAGTAAGACTGTGAAATTTTAACTTGGCAATATTAGAGAGTGGGTAAGCAGCTGGGATTTGAGGCTGTCCAGTATCCCACTGTTTTCATCATCTCCCATCTCGACCCATCTGTTATCCCCAGTCACGCCGCTGACATGTGAGCTCTTCGGGACAGGGGTTGTCAGTTCCAGCTGTGCAGTGCCCAGCTTTCCCATCGCCGCACAAACAGCTGCCCTCTGGCACGCACTGCTGCAGACCCCTGTTGGAATCAGGAAGAGTTTTAGTTCTAGTTTGGGGAACCAGTAGTTTAAAAAAAAAAAGGGGCTGTGTGTGTGTGCATGTATACCTAAAAAGTATAATTAGGGTTTTTTTTGTTGTTGTTACATGGTGGTTGAAGGTATATTTTTAGCTCTTTCTTACAAGGTTAGCTCGTTCTAGCTGATTTCTGTATTTGCTTTCTGGTTTGTGAAATGTAACGGCTGTCAGTTAACCTCTCTGCTTATCTGAAAGGTTAAAATGCAGCTCCTCACAGCTTTAATATCGGTGCAACAACCAAAAGTTTCCCGATTCCCTATTGAATCATGTGCCATTCATGCTCAAAAAACAACAAAACAGCAGCTCTCCCCTCTTACAGAGGCCTGAGTAAACAGATGGACCTTGCTATGTGCCCTGCTAATGGTTTCACATGGGTTAAGGTAACAGCGCTTGTTTTAACTACACAGATGCTACCCTAGGTTACAGGCAGGATAGCAAATGTCTCTCACCCTTGGTGTTTGCAACACTCATCTGCTGTCATCCTTCTCTGTCACAGGTCTTGGGCCAGTTCCTCTGCCTGATTTGGGTCAGATGAGCACCATATTTTGTGAGGAAGGCATGCGGAGATAGTCACTTGCTAGCAGATTGCCAATCCACCAAATCCATTATTAATACTTAGCATTTTCTGTCATTTTCAAAGTGACAAATCTATTAATTTATTTCTGAAGCAGGACAACATTGCAGTGACTCTTTGTTCTTTTACTACATGATGTCCTCAAACTTCAACTGTTTTACAGCTTGCTCTGGACAAATGAAATGGGACTGACAAGAGAAGGCAGTGTGTCTCCTATTTCTCAAAAGGATCCTAGCCACACTGCTTACCTGTGCTACTCTTTTCAAACCTAGATTGCAGCTGCCTTTGAATTGATCTTTCTCATGATTGCATCACCTTAACCTGATCTTTGTTTGAGATGAGATTAACTAGTAGTCCACTGCCATGATGTAATTAGAAGTTCTGTCTACAGAATAGGGTATTTTTGTTAAAAAAGAATACTCATTGCCAAAAGAAATGATAACTTTAAAAAAAAAAACAAACTCTGTTTGATTTCTAGCAATGCCAGATTAAAAAATGACACTTATGCTTTGAATGTCTACAGATGACCTGTAGGTTAGTTTATGAGGTTTTAGCCAGTACCAACTATTAGGAAAGCTATCCATTCCTCTTCTCTGCTTGCAGCCTTGCATGAAATTCATTGCTCTGCCAAGGACCCAGCTACCAGCTCTCCAGAAGTGCACAGTTTTTCTTTTATTGCCATTTTCCAGTGGTAAAAGTGACTTGATTTGAGAAGACGATTCAGACAAATTGTTTGCTGTTTCCCTGTTTTGTTTGTTTTCTTGCTTTTTATTTCCTCTTGCAGGCCAGGTTTTCAAAGGCCTCTCAGGCCAGTTTGTCTGACAGCACAGAGCTCAGTTTGGACCATGATCTTGATTTCGCAGGTTTATGCACAGCAATATGCACCCTCCCATCACCCCAGAGGAAGGACTAAAGAGTCTTTTGTCTAAACCCACAGCCACACCCTGCCAAGATGGCAGAAGAAACTACATACGTGGTGTTTGTCACCTTCAGGTTTCTCTCCTGGCAGCTGATCAGCAAGAGGAGGGCAGATGACTATAACAGAAAGTCTGTGGGAATAAATTATCATTTCAAGAAGAAAAAAAAAAATAGTGTATTTGGATAATTGAAAAAGCTTAGCATCATTCCATCAGCTATATTGGCTGTACTCTGTCTTAACAGTGCATTTATCATTTTTTTTTTCTAAGCACAGTCTGGTTGACCCTGCCTCTTAGGCCTTAGTTTTCCATACCAAATCTGTGAGCTACCAGGTTACCTGCCTGGACCCGATTTGTTTTTGACATGTAGATGGTCACATGCTTGACAAAGTAAGCAAAGTGGACAACAAGGATGACATTCAAGTTTTTAACTAGAACAAGGGTGAGAGAACTGATTCAGAGAGAACACACAAAAATTCCTTGAACAGTTGAGAGTTAAGTGAGTTTGGGCCAGGTTATCTCTTCACATCACATCGCTGCTTTTGTCCCCTGGCTGCTGCATCAGTCTGTCTGCTGCCAGACTTACTGCCACCCACCAGAGCAATGCCTCACACCCCTTGGATTTGTGCGGATTTGCACAGAGAGAAGCTTCTTCCTCTAAAAGAGGTAACTGCTGCTGCTCATCTCTAGGGGGATGAATAAACTGCTTAGCCAAAAGGCACATACCAAGTTCAAAAAGTGTGGGTTTTGTTCAGGGCCACAAAAAGTTAATTTTCTCACTGGATCAGGTTTTTTTTTAAGGGCATCAGCATATTGCAGTTTGTATTTTTGAGTGAAAGGGATGTTTATGTTTGGCAAAGCACTGTCTAAGAAAGTTTTACATTACATTACATTTTAATTACATTATTCATGAAAGGCTCAGGATTTATTTATTTCATATTCATAGCTGAAAGCTGTGAAAATTGACAAATTTAAAGTATGCAGAACAAAAGCCAGTATGCGCTCTATTGACAATCCACAGATGAGCAATTAGGTGCTCATCCCTGACCTTTTGTTAGTCATAATGCTTCAGAGACCACCTTAACTACTGTCACTACAAAAAAATAATAAAAAAAAAAATTAGGATCTACCTTTTCAAGCATTACTTTAATCACACACACAGGCCACAGAAGTCAATAGGACTTTTTGCATAACAACAAGAAAATTTTACCCTACCTAACTGGTACTAAGAACTTTCCCAGTATGGTCAGTGAGTATTAAAATTCTTTTTGGAAATTGCAACAGGTTACTTAACTGAGTCAGAGTGAGTCAAGTGCAGAACTGGGTTTGGTTCAATGAGCATGTCATTAAAAAAACTCATACTAGTGGGAAACTGTTGTTGCACAATAATCAGCATCCTATTTCTCACTTTGATACCAGTATTGTTAACGATGGATCTCTTCTGTACTCTCAGTGTGGGAGATCTTGGTGTAGCCTGATGAGAGAAATAGGTCTGCCTAGTGGTGTTTTGAATACAAGGTTATGCCTGGTTTATCAGTAACCAAAGTTAGGTTAGGAAGGCCTACATATATGACTGTATTTATAATGGATCCATCAGATTTGTTATTTTTTTCCCCATAATAAACTTCCTGCACTACTTATTAACTAAGGATAGGAGTCCTGTATTTGTATTGTCCTTGTTATCTTCCATTCAGCATTAAGACTACTACCAAGCTCCTAGCTGGGTGAAAGTTGCCACTTCCTGCTGCTATAGGTGTATATATATATATGTCTGCATATAAATATATGTGTGTGTATATGTACACTGATGACTCTGCATGAAACTGATGTAGGTGGTAAGGAGAAAGGTCTTCTGAAGTTTTTCCTCAGAGCAAAATCCTATAAACTTTAACAAGTATAAGTTGTTTTTTTTCCTTCATGAATGCAGATATGGGACCTGAATTGCCATGTACTGACCTTTTTAATTCCCTAGGTTTTAGAGAAATGGTGGTTGGATTAAGCAGATCTCAAATACCTGCATAGAAATAATTTCTTCCACTTTACCTTGTCCTAGGGCAACATGTTTAAGAGGAGGGTCACAAACCAGTTGTGTAAAATATAAATGTATTAATAATCTATTTCATAATTATTGGAAATTAGGTTAAAAAATTATTTCAGTCTACCTTAGGCCCCTTTACTTGATTATGAAACTATCTGACTCTAAGGTAGACAAAGCACAAAAGTGATTTGTGGAAAATTACAAAACTAACCAACATCAACATATAAAATGAAACTTAAAGTCAAATGACAGCATCTTTGTATAGAGAAATAGAAAAATTATTTTATCTGGTCTTCATTTCCCTGCCCAAAAGGCACACAAGAGGAAAGATTTGTCTTGAACATACTTTGTCAGTGAGTTTGATCGGCTGTGAAAGATTTACATTTCCAAATGGAAAACAAACAACTTCTGGGAGTTTAACACTAGCAAGGAGACATTTATGCTGCAAGAGCAGGGAAACCACTTTGCAAAATTACCAGGAACAGTTCTGGCCCACCAGCTGTGGATGTTTGTCCAGCAGTCATTTATCACAGGCACACAGAAGCAGAGTGGGACCCACTCCTGCCTGGTGGAGGAGTGAGATGTGGTGCAGTGCAGCTGAAGCAGCTGTGGCACAGCCGAGTTCCTGGCTCAGGAGCAGAGGAGGGGGCTGAGGCACCATTCGGCTCCCTTCAAGAACCACGCTGCTTTGGGCTGAGGAAGTGTGAGGAATGAGGGTGCAGTGGGCAGCTGGTGCAGGAGGAAAAGGGTGCTGGGGCAGATGGGATGTCCCCACCACCCCCGAAGCCACACGCAGGTGGTGGAAACCTCCTGCTGCTAAAGGGATATCTGTGGGCCAAGGCAGGGAAGACCATCTCTCATATATCAGTGGTACTGTCTGCACAGCCTGGGCTGTATTTGCCTGGAAACTTGCTCAAAATAAGGTCTGAGAGAGACAAATTTATGGAAGGAAAACCAGAGTTATTCCTACATGGACCATGTAGGAATATTGTTTGTGTGTATTTGAAGAACTTGATTCAAGGAGTCTGTGCCTAAATCACACTAGCTCTTCCTCCCCTTTTTACTTAAGTCTTTAGATGTCAGAAAATAACAGCCAAAGGGATTTAAGGCCAGGCTGGCTAAATGTGCACTTGCAACAGTAGAACCAGGAGCTAGAAACATTTCTCTTAAAAAGCTATGTGACCTTGACAAGAAAATCATTTGCTCACTTTCGCAGTCTTCTTGCTCCTCCTTTATAAAGGAAGTTAGTTATACAATTATTTTAATTCACCCCTTTTTCTAAAGAGCCTAAATTCATCTGCAGAGTCTGAAATGTAAGGAAGGTACATTAACTCTACTGGCTACAGCTTTCATTGCAAATGGAATTTATTT